ACTTAATCCAGTGGTTCCCAAATGTATCTTCACTTCAGAATGGCCTGGGGAGCTTCAATAAACTATTGACACCTCTGTCCCACCCCAGAAATTATGCCTTAATTAGAGTATGGCCTGGGCTGTAGAATTTGTTAAGACCTCCCTCCCCCTCAACTAAGTGATTTTCACATGCAGGCAAATTTGGGAACCATTGACTTTATCTTAGAACTCTCTGCCATAGGACCTATAACCATGCCCTCTTTACAGATGTGGCTGAGCAAACTCCAGTGACCCCCTCAAAGGTCACGTCAGTACTGCGTAAGAGCTGGCACTCTGGCCTGGCCAGACTCTGCAGCTGTGCTGTCTCCATCCTTGCTGCTCAAAGTGTGGTCCAGAGACCACAGCATCACCTGAGAGCTTGTCCACAGTGCACATTTTCAGGCCCCACAAAGTCAGACTTACTGAATTGGTTTAGAATCCCTCCAAGGGAGTCTTGTGCCTGCTTCAGTTTGATAGCAGCTGCTGTAGTCATGTCAGATGCCCTGAAGGTCACAGTCAGTGCTGCCACCCTAGGGAGCCACAGCCTGGCCCCCAGTCATCCTCTGACTTTAATTTACCTGGGTATTATCTGGGCTGCTGGTTAAAAATGACCCATCTCAAAGATCTTTTTTCAGGAAGTTAGAAAGGAGTTATAGCACTTTCTGTGCTGTTTCATGTTTGTGAGTTTTAAAGCCAACAACGATCATCAACCCCTTTGGAGCAGGGACCACACATCTATTCCTGCCGCCCTCCAGCAGTAATGAGCAGGTGGCAGGGCTCAGGACTGTTTGCCTGATTGATGGCCTGATGGAACCAGCGCCAGGGCACTAAGGTAATTAGACGATCAGGTTCCGGATCTCGCTTTCTGGCTAGAGGTACTGCCTTACGTGATTAAGATGTCTGGGAGGCACAGCTTCATAGAAGCTGTGCAGGGAGCGCTGAGCTGCGGGAGGCAGTCAAGCCAAACGCAGGGTCAGAGCAGAGGAGCCTCCAGTTCCTTGCTTCTTGGGCTCCAACGGACGCCTCCAAACCAGTAGTTCAGCATCTCTGTATGCAGACCTTAGAGAACAGGAGTCAACGGCAAGCCCCACACTCTAAAAGACATGAAAAGTCTAAATGCATTGAGAACGAAGCATATTTTCTCTTCTTTTTCCTTTCTTTTTTTTAAGCAAAATAATAACTTGACACAATTCCAAGCAGTTAAAAAGATACTAAAAGAAACTCAATTTAAAGGGCTTTTAGTAGGCTGAAAACAGATGTGGCAAACCATTTCGGGATTTCTGGGAGATGAGATGCGGAGGACTGGATTCGAAATGGCTGGGCCGCCTGTTCTGTGCCCGCCCCTCCAGGTGCCTGTGCTCGGAAGGGGCCCTGCCCAGCACGCGCTCTGGAAGGAAGCGGCCCCGCACCTCCTCCCTCGCAATTACCGCCAGGTCGGAGGCTTCCGGGCGGCGCGGAGTCAGCACGGTGCAGAGCACTTGGGAGCAGAGCGCGTTTTCTTTTCATTCTTCCTGGCTTCACTGGGGGAGCGGCGGCACCTGTTCTGCGGTAGCACTGCTACAGTTGCTAGCCGCCGACGCGCGGGGGCGCCCGACTGCATCCGGCCTGCGGGGGGCCAGGAGCCTGAGAGCCTGCCGCTGGGTGCGGGGGACAGAGCCGGCCCCCGGGAGGGCCCAGGGTCGGATTTCGGATGTAGAGCTCAGTCGAGGGAGTTGAAGACGTTGGGAGCGCATTTCTCAATAGTCCCAAAGAAACTGAGCTTTCAGTGCATGCAAGGGGCCTTTGATTTCCCCGACTTCTGGCACTGAAGCACCTTATTCTCATATTTTTGAAAATTCAAGAACAGGGAGATTAATGAGTCTACGTGGAATTCTAGGTGACCATCGAAAATAACATACATCAATTGCATCTTATAATTAGTAAAATCATTTTTATTACTTAAGATAAATCTTGATCTGGTGATTTTATTAGGTAAGATAAACCTGGCATAACATACGTTACGGGTGTGTGTTTTTTGTTCAGTTGTCATTTTCAGAGAAATATATGAGTTTTTAAAGTGTATATTTATTCCATCAATAATTATTTTTAAAGTGCACCTGTATGCCATATATGTAGTTTTATATCTATCCCACCACTTTCTGCTTGCAAAGCTGAAGTCACAAAAAGGTAAACGCAAGTCCCCCAGTATAGAGGAGAATCTAGTATGTCCCATATAAGCATCTTTGCTAATTGGCATTTTGAAAGTATGGTGCTAGACACTCTTGAAATGAAATTATTGTTGCTGTCAAATTACACATCTCCGCAAATTTACTTGATCTGCTCCAACTGACTTTACATCTGGGAAAGGAGAAATTGTAGGTCTCTCTCTCTCTCTCTTACTCTGGGATATTTTAGATAGAGCAAAGGTATCCATGATGTAAATTTCTGAGATATTATAGATAAGCCCTTTATAAAGTCACAGATAATATTCCCATAATGGGGTGTGGGGAGATTCCAAAGAAGACTGACACTTACTGATGTCAGGGACTGTTATTGTCTACTGCTCCACAGTATCTGCAACTCCTAGTGTGTCTGGTTTACATCTTGCCAACTTAAAGTAATGAGGCTTCCCTTGAAGGGCACTGAATCCAGGGCCAGAAAGTTTCACAAGGAGGCAGCTAAAATAACAACCAGCCACATAGCTCATGGGGAACATCCGTGCACCTTAGGGGGCTGGCATTCTGGGAGAGGTCCTCTCAGCTCAGATTTCTTTTTGTAAACTTGCTCAGTCTTGGACTTTTTTTCCTACACTGAGCCTATGATTTTTGGCATGAAATTCAGTTATATATATATACATTGCATATTTAGTGTGCACAGGACACAGTGATCAGATGTGGCAGGGTTTGCAGAAATAAGCAAAACAGCACCTTTTATGTGCTGGCCAGGAATAAGCTTACAGTCAAACAGTGGGAGAAGGGCATCATACCAGGCGCAGAACAAGCATGCTTCATCAGGGCAGCAAAAAATGCTCACATCTAAGGAGGGGGCTTTGAAGGGGAGCGACATATGAGATGTACTTTGAAGAAGCAAAAAATATTCATCTGGGAAGAAATGGATGGGAGGAGAACATTCTAACAGAAGGAATGGTGCATGCAGGAGCTGGGATCATGGGGTATGTTTGGGGATCAGGACAAACACGTCCTTCAACATAAAATACATGTGCATAGAAAAGAGAGCTGTAAAAGTTAAGGTTGGGAATGCTGGTTGGGGCCATATTTAAAAAATGGTTCTTACATGCCTGGCCAAATAATCTTTATTTTGTTTCAGAACGTAGTTAAAAATAGGAGCTTCTTGAGCGGAACAAGTTAGTGGCATTGGGTTTATACATTGAGCGAATTTTTTCTAGTATCGGGATACATAGAATGCCCATGCAGGAAGACACTAGATCCTGAATTTAGGATTGTGGTAGAGGGATTAAGAAGTTGGAAAATGCCCTTTAGAGCTACTTCAGAGACACTCCCAGCCTTGGCAAATGGTTGGGTTTTGGAGAAGGAATGGTTGATTAAGGGAATCATAGCAGTCACATGGGAAGTCAGGAAGAGAGCAATGGCTATGGGGCAAAGAAGTCCCTTTTGATCTTTGAGGTGTTGGCAGGACCTCCAAGGGAAGATGCTAACAAAAGAAGTTAGAAATCAAATTCAGAAGGCTGAGCACAGTGGCCCATGCCTGTAATCCCAAAACTTTTTGAGGCCAAGGCAGGAGGATCACTTGAGGCCAGGAGTTCAAGACCTGGGCAGCATAGCAAGATCCCATTTCTGTTCAAAAAAGTAAAAGGATTAGCGGGCATAGTGACATGTGCTTGTAGTCCTAGTTACTTGGCAGGCTAAGGAGGGAAGATCGCTTGAGCCCAAGGGTTCAAGATTACAGTGAGCTGCGATCACACCACTGCACTCCAGCCTAGATGGCAGAGCAAGACCCTGTCTCTAAAAGAGAAAACAAAACAAAAACAAACAAAAAACATTAAATTCACCAAATGGAGAAACAGGGCTAAAGTTACAGAATAGAAATTCATCCATGGAAGGGCAGGGACAGGAGTAGGTGAAACTCCCAGGAATCCTGGGGAGGCAGAAGACGCCAAGGACAAAGCCTTGGCATGGCCTGGTGTTCCTGCCCAGCCTCTGACCCTACTGTCCCCTCATCCTGATGTCCAGGAGAACATTCTGACCCCCACACCAAAAAAAATACAGTTTGCTAGGAGAAGCCAAGTCCAGCAAATTTATTCTACCTGAGATGAAGTTAGAGGCTTCAGACAATATAGAAAGACAATTTTGTATTTTGTGAAGTTTTATTTATTGAATTTACTTATATTGAAATGAATCTGTAGTTCTAATTTGGGAAAATGACGTAGCTACTTCCTTCTTCAGAAAAAAATAATTCTAATCTTTAGTATTCATTCTGATTTTCTGCCCACTCCTCCTAAAAAGTTTTCAATCACTTTCTGAAACTAGGAAGAATTCAAAAGAAGAGCTAAAATATTGTAGACTTCCTTCACAGTTTATTTTTGTAGGCCGTTCTCTGAGTAGAGAAGCACAGGAAATGAATGGTTACTGTAACTGGGATGTTTGTGGTAAAAATACAATTTTTAAAACTTAGACCATTTTTCTAGGCTTTACTTCTCCCATAACTCAAATATTGTTTGCTTCTGAGGAAAAAATTAAAACACGGGTGATCGATAAAAAATAGACCTTGCAGGAGCCGCGGTGGCTCGGGCCAGTTGTCCTGGCACTTGAGGAGGCGAGGCTATGCGTTCAAGGCCAACCTGGGCAACATAAGAACCTCTCGTTCATTAAAAAAAAAAAAAATAGACCTTGCTCTTGAGTATACAGTTAACCTGTGTTTGTTTTTGTGTGCAGATTTTACCCTATAAATCATAGTGTGATTCACCATTGGGGGAACTCCAAAAAGAAAATCTAAACCCATCATTTCTTTTGTGTTTTCTAAAGGTCAAATGCTGCAAATACTGGCCAGATGACACAGAGATATATAAAGACATTAAAGTTACCCTAATAGAAACAGAACTACTGGCAGAATATGTGATAAGAACATTTGCTGTTGAAAAGGTAAGTTTTCATACTGCTTTTAAAAGCTATGGTCAGACACTAGTGGTACAATAATAGTCTCATTAAGTTATCTAGAATACTTTACACATGCTCATACGTGAATGCAGGTAGGCTCTATCGGTTGATTTCTCAAGATTGCATCTTGCCCTCTGATTCTATAAAAGCTCAGTTCCATCTTTAAAACAAATCATTCCCATTTCATAAGAATATGTATTTTGCAAGTAAACCAAAAGTTAATGTCTATTCGTTTATTTTCTGTCTCTGGTTGATATTGTTCTGCCTGTCTCTTTCTTTGTTCACAGAACAAAGTTTTTTAAACTTTAATAAGTGTCCTTCCAGTTGGGTAAATTTCCTTCATGGTGTATGTCCGTATGCATTTCTCAGTAGGGAGTTAGTATCAGTGTTGAGACACAGGTCCTAACTCCTCCTGGAATCCCTCACTTCCTTGTGGCTTTCCAAAGCTCTAGTTTAATGTGAACTGATTGATTTTCCAGGTGGAAGTGACCTACCTGGAAACCTAAGTGATCTCCCTTAGACATGGGACACTCTTGCATGAACCAGCGCATTCATTCATGCTCACTGCCATACTGGTTTTCCCCTTTTGTAGTCTCTGGTGTTGGGTCGGTGAATGCTCTGCTGTGGTTCTGCCCTGCCTCATCCCATGTGCATGGATGGGGCTTCTTCTCTGGGAAGCACTGTAGGGCGTAACAGGGAATTTCCTTATTCCCCTCTTTCTGCTGACATAGGGAGGGGCCGGAGGTGAAGCAAACTGCAGTCCATCCAGAGAAGTGTCACAGGTAGGCTCTGGGGAAAGTGGAGGTGATGTGGCTGAGAAACATTCTGCCTTCCAAAGATCCACAGACTTTTCTATCCAGAGTTGATTCTTCCTAACTGAGCACTGCACAGCTGCACTAGACTTAGGGATCTTGGTGTGAATTTGCTCAGCTTATACTCATGTAATAGTAGCAGGTATTTTTGGAAGACCTGGGTTATAGGCATATTGCTAGGGAGTTGGATTTTGGCCTTCTCTCCACTCTGTATTCTCATTGCATCTAAATGCGCTTTTTAGATTAACAAGACCAGTTTTAGGAAATCAAGGAAATTGCAACATCTGCTTATTGGCTAATCTACTCTGATGTTTTGAAGTACCTTTCCTGGTTTGCAGATCCAAATTTGTCATAGAATCACAAAGCTGGAAAGACTTCATTTTAATCTGTTTCTCATACTATTTAGCATTTTTTTCTTAGCCTGTCTGTTTTAATAAGCAGGCAGAAAGCCTGGAGACTTCAAAGAATGAGGAGTTCTGGTTGACTCAGTTCTTCAAGTTCTGAACCTCACACTTTGATGTCAATTTTTTCCTTCTTAGGCAGTATTGGAAAAAAAAAAAAACCACATGGAGGATTTTTGTATGGCTGTTGGCAAGAGCATTCATGAATAACCGCATTTAAACAGCGATAAAAACACCCTCAATATTTTTTTCTTTAAAAAAATCATCCAAAAGCCGTCACTTAAACATGGAGCTCTTTGAACAATAGTCGGCTCTCAAAGAAGCTGAAAATGCATCTCTGTAGCTAAAGGAAGGATTGTTTGTTTCTTTGCTCTTTTTTTAACCTCTTATTGTACTCCCCTGAGTTCCCAGCTGCACAGAAATGTGTCTGAAAAACCCAGTTATTTTAGTCATTTGAAAACCAGTGAAGAGATTGTGGAAGGAATAGAAGGAAGAAGGAGCTTGTTAATGCCTTTGGGGAAATCAAAATGACATGTTAGTGATTTTAACCGGGCAATTGGAATCTTTAAGGAAAACAAATCATTAGTACTTTTGTAGAACATGTCTTGTAGGTTTTTAACTTTCTCATTCGAAAGTAAAGAAGAAAATGGGTAAGCATGTACTTTGAGATGCCTGCAATTCTGATTCTATTTTGAGAGCATGTTGCATCAGGGGACCTAAAGGTGAAAATGGATTTGGGCTCTGCTCTGCAAAACAAGCAGGCTCAATGCAGTTTGGAACCCATGAATTCCTGCTTTGCATCTGATTGTTGTCTTTTGTCTCCCACATAGCTGATGATTCCAAGCTAAACAGATTTTAAATAATATGCAGTACTCAGAGTGTCAGAAGGAAAACACCCCAGAAGTCTCCATGGATTTAGGCTGTCTGGTGAATCTATCCCTGCCTATCCTGGGAGAAACAAAGTTGACAATGGCCACTGAATTCTCGCTACCCAGAAGCTGCCTAGGATTCAGAGAGGGCATGAGAAGATGATCCTCTTGTCTCTAAGACAACATGTACTTTGTGACTATTCATTTTACAAATATTTCTTAAACACCCACTTTGGGCCAGGCACTATCGTATGACTTGGTTCAAAATTAAGTGACTAATTGGGTATTGTGGCTCATGCCTGTTAATCTCAGCACTTTGGGAGGCTAAGGCTAGAGTATCACTTGCAGTGAACCATGATTGTGATTTGCACTGCAGCCTGGGCAACAGAATGAGACCCTGTGTCAAAAAAAGATTAAGTGACTGTCACTTTTTTGTATATAACATTCATGCTTTTTATAATGAAAAATAAGGAAAAAAAGTTAATAGTATCAAATTGGGAGGTATTTGGGCTGTGATCACTGATGACATCTATGATATTCTTCCCTAAATGTGTTACATTGCAAAACAGAAAAAAGGAGACACTGCTATGTCAGTGAACAAGAATGAAAGCTGGATCAGAAGCAATTTCCTTTGCTACTCTTGTCAATGGCAAACATATTCAAGGGTGGAGGTTAATTTTGGGAAATGTTTTCTACATTCCAGAAACTGATATTTACCTTGCTCAGAAAAAGAGTCTTAGATCAGTTAAGAGCTGTAGTTCAGGACTTGCGGATGCTGGAACTGAAATCTAACAAAGTTAGAGAGAGAAGCACCCCCCTGCCCCCACCCACCAAAAAACCCACCAGGATATGGAGAAAGATACGCCCTTTTTTGCCCTTTGGAATAAAACATTTATTGTCACTAAGCTTTCCCAGTTCGTATATGTGAACGCATACCACCAAAATCAAATCAACCCTGTGCAGCTCATCACGCAGAAAGCTGGGGGAGCTCTCGGGGTTTGGAGGGTGACACAGGCCCAGCTGTATGTTCTCTAATGGAGACCTTAGGACTGGCAAACGTTACCTTGGTTTTAGTGATAAGGAATTTGGGCTCTTAACCATCTAACCATACTACTCTGGGATCCACAGAGCCTGTTTAGCAGATGACAGTATTGACTTGGATTTGTGAATCCCTGACTGCTTAATTCCTTAATACTTGAACTCTGGTAAAGAATGGCATTTTCACAGAGAAATAAAGCTTCAGCATTTGCGGGTTATTAAATGAAGACATATTAACACATGGATGCCAGACAAGTCTTATCTCAAAATCTGCAGTTGTTTGCCTCTTCTGGTCTTTCAAAGCATACAAAAGTTCTGAATTTCCTCTTTGTTCACTAGTATGTGTGAACAATGATTGATAGTGAAAGTGATAAAGTTAATGAATGTTTACTTTTAAGATACAATAAAACCAAATGCAGAAATGGTTCAGAAAATGATCATGGAATGAGAGAAGGAAGAAAGTCTAATTTGACCCTAGATGTACATGCAGAATTGATTCTGGTTTTGTTTTCAAAACAGTCTTTTGCTTTAAAACACAGACTTCATATATAGGTTCATACTTAGAAAACAAAATTGACAGGTATAAATTACCTTAATTATTCTCAAAACAAAAGTAAATTAAAAACAAAAGCAAACCATAAAGTCTCTTTCCTTCTGCCTTCACTCCAGTTGAGCAGCAGACAGCTCTCCCTCAATTTACTGACCTAGCATAGAATTCCAGCAAAAATATCTTTTGGTTCCCATGGTATGTATTGGCTTACATGCTTGTTTCCCACAAGTGGACTGTGATGGCCACTCGAAAACATATCTCTGTAGCCCTAGCACCTCACCTAATGCCTGGGGCAGTGTAGTCACTCAGATTGCTAGCAGTTGGATGAATGGGTTAAATATTTACCCACATTAAAAAGAGAAACCTAACAAACAGAGTTGTGAATGCAAATGAGTTCTCTGACCTGTCTCCTTGGAAAGGAGTCCTTATTTATTCCTCCTGCAAGCATCACCTGAGCATGCTTAGTGAGTGTACACCACTCCATTCCCTGCTCTGAGAGGTACCAGGATGCCGGAGAGCCCCAACACTGAGTTAGTATGGAGCACACAGACATCCTTTAATTCCTTCAGGCCCATCTTCTCTGCCTCTTTTTCTATAGACTCTCACCTCACCAAACATCTTGTGATCTAAGTGAGACAAACCTTTAACATAGGTCTACTTTTTAGACAGGAATTTCAAAGAACCCAACCAATCCATCCATTTGTTGGAATTGCACCTGAAAATTAGCATTTTCCCCAAACACCATCTCCCTTTCATGCCCAGACATCTTCCTAAGGGTGCGGTGCTTTCCACATTGTGTGTAAGATCTAAGGATGGCCTCCTTCCCCAGCAGTCCACTGTTTCCTGGCCCTAGACTTACTACTTGGGGACTCTTTCCACTCCCCCAGCTACCCTGGTTTATTTATGGTTTCTTTTCCCTTATTCTCTTCCTTGTGGTGGCTGACCAACTGCAGAGAGGTGTGCATGAAATCCGAGAGATCAGACAGTTTCACTTCACTGGCTGGCCGGATCATGGGGTTCCCTACCATGCCACTGGCCTGCTGGGATTTGTGCGGCAGGTCAAGTCCAAGAGCCCACCCAATGCAGGCCCACTGGTGGTGCACTGCAGGTAAGCAGAGCTCCAGAGCCTCTTGAAGGAAGCACAGTGGGTGATGGGTGCAGGGTCACCTTTGGGGATGATGAGTATGTTTTAGAACTTCAGAGTGGTGATGGCTGCACAACATTTTGGAGTGTACCTTTTAAGAGGTTTAAATTTATATTATGTAACTGCCACTGGAGTGTACCTTTTAAGAGGTTTAATTTTATATTATGTAAATTTCTCCTTAATAAAAAATTTAAAAAGCAGCAGTGGCAGTGTGGTCCTTCTTCCTCCACTGACAGACCCCTCTTTTCATTCAGTGCTGGTGCAGGAAGGACTGGCTGTTTCATCGTCATTGATATCATGTTGGACATGGCTGAAAGGGAAGGGGTCGTAGACATCTACAACTGCGTCAGGGAGCTGCGGTCACGGAGGGTGAACATGGTGCAAACAGAGGTACTCCCGCTCGCCACTTGGCCTGGGCCTTGGTCCCCGGGGTCTCTTCTGCATCTCCCCCTTTCAGGGCCAAGGGCACAAGGAATCCAAGCAATTATCTGTTCAAATGATCTACCTGGCATTCCTGTTCCTTCCCTCCCTCCCTCCCTCTCTTCCTCCTTTTTGTTTTTCCTTTCATAAACCAAAGAAAGCCAGGAGTTTTCCAGGTAACACAATCAAGAACCTAAATTTGCACATTTTTCTGTGTTAGGGGACCCAAAAAAGTCTCCATTAAATGCTCAGAGCTGGAAACTAGAGCAAGACCACTCCTGAGAATAGTGGCTAAAGGGTTATCTCTGTGCATTTTGTTCTCATGGGGTCCTGAGAAGAACAGAAGTCTCCGACCCTAAAAATTCTGCCCAGTGTCTGGCATCACGGGGATTTGCCCATTTTGTAGAAGTGCTCTATACTAACTAATAATGCTGTAAGTGGAAATTCAAGGTATGTCAGGAATTCCCATTTGTCAGGCGCAGTATTACATCCCGCTCCTAGGACGTTCATATTTTACTCATAGTTGATCATTTTGAGTAGGCATCACACCCACCACCCGGAAAACGATTCATGAAGTGAGGTGAAGAAGATGTAAGAAGTCCTTACATTTAGATTGTGCATTTAAGTTTATGAAAGCCTCTGGGAAACCTAATCCCATTTTTTTTAGCTAACGTAAAAATGCCAGAAACTGTAAATGCTGCTTTCATGGGCTCTTCTCCTTAGAAAGGGGATACTGTGTTTTAAAGATAACAACCATAAAAATTTATCTTTTAATGTACTTTATAGTCAATCAAATGTTACCACTCCCATTTTCTCACTTTGATCTTCTTTTTCCAGGAGGTTAGTGGTAGTGTGCTGTTGTTGGGAATCAACCTGTTGGACAAGAGGTTGTTGAAAAAAATGAATTAAAAGTCCTATTTGTGTATAGAAATCAACCAAATTAACTGTAATAAGAGACTTTTTAGACTTTTCATATAACTAAAGATTAATAATAAATATGGTAAGACTTTATTAATGAATTTTAAGAAAAGTCAGTGCCAAATCAGAATTAGACACCCCATGTTTACACTGTGAACTCATTGAACGTATATATGACAACACCTCTCTGCACTTCTAAGAGCTTTCATAATCATCATATTAGCTTTTATGTTCTGAAATAAGAGCTTCAGAACTTCTTGTCTTCATACTAATGCCAAGTTTTTCTGGACCTTCTTTCTACTATTATTTTGATCAGCAAATCCTCTATTCATCATAAATAGGTAAACTTCTGCTCATTCCTCATCTGAGGAATATTGAGTTCCGAGTGAGTAGGATCAGAATGACAGCGGTCTTTCGCCACCATTTTCATGACGCTGCAGTATGTGTGGTGGTTCGTACTGGGTCTGATTGGTTTTAATCAATCCGTATAACTTTTCGCATTGTGCCCTAGTCTTTCAGCAGTCGAGCCCTTGGAGCGTGTTTCTCTCTGGAGGAGTTGTCTCCACTTCCTTGATGATGTGAGGCTGAAATTGATACTGTCTTTTCTCCTTCTCAGGTTTTCTAAAGTTAGTAACTCGTTCTGTCTCCTTCTCCAGGAGCAATATGTGTTTATCCACGATGCAATCCTGGAAGCTTGTCTTTGTGGAGACACCTCTGTGCCTGCTTCCCAAGTTAGGTCTCTGTATTATGACATGAACAAACTGGATCCACAGACAAACTCCAGCCAGATTAAAGAGGAATTCCGGGTAAGTGATGCCTGATGGAGGGGCACTGTACAGTGACTTGCTCCTCAAGAAGGATTTCAAGGTCAGCACCTGAGTGAGCCCTGGAACCACAAGGTTCCTCAGCCTCCACAGCACTGTTGGCATTCAGGGCTGGGTAACTCTTGTTGGCATGTGCTGTTCTGTAGGATGTTTAGCAGTAGCCCAGAGCTCTACCCAGAAGACATCTACAGCATCACCACCACACAAAAATGTATGTGAGAGCTACTAGTTTAACCACCATTTCCACCCCTCCCCTCTGAAAGCAGATGCTGAGTAGTCCCCAGCACTACTCCTTGTCCACAGCATAGCCATGGCTCAGTCATACCGTGGAAGTGTATGTTAAGAAGACTTTCCAACCAAGAGCTCTCCATTGTATTCCTCACATTTGCATTTTGTCCAAATGTACCTGACTCAAGGCCAGACTCTTCCCCCACCTCTGACCTCCCAAATCCCCAGGTGTCCCACTCCAGTGGGACTTGAGGACTCTTAATCCTATGAACCTACAATGGCCCTTAGGCCTCTGCCTCTGGCCCCTGTGTGTGATGGGCACTGTCTGTGGACAAAATCCAAGAAACGAAAAAAATAAAACTCGAAACAGTGGAGGGTTGGAGAGGGGAGGGGAAAGGACAGTCTTGCAGTCAGCCACAGGAAGTTTGCGTCTTCCCAGCGCTGCACATGAGAGGAGTCCGCCACCAAGCCTTCTTGCCCTCCTGTGCCTTTCTTTTCTCACGTAGACCCTAAACATGGTGACGCCAACACTGCGAGTGGAGGACTGCAGCATCGCTCTGTTGCCCCGGAACCATGAGAAAAACCGGTGCATGGACATCCTGCCCCCAGACCGCTGCCTGCCCTTCCTCATCACCATTGACGGGGAGAGCAGCAACTACATCAATGCCGCCCTCATGGACGTGAGTGCCCCCCTTCCCGGGTGGGTCCGTGGCTGGGGCAGCTGGGGGACTGCAGAACAGGCGTGGGTCTTCCCCTTCTGATCTCTCACTCTTTTGTTTTTTAAGACACAAACTTTTTTTCCAACAAAAAAATAGATTTCAAATTCCACATATGTTTTTGTGTCAGGGCTGATATCCTTGGTTTCTCAGAGACCACCAGGTAGAAGTATCAGTAAATGCAACATGGCACAGTTGCCCGCGGAGTGCTGAGACTTTTAACCTGCTGGTCAGGGAGCAGGGGACAGCTGTGAAGTCACCATGGCAGGAAAATGGGTTAATAGGTTTGCAGCATTATTTTATTTCCTTTTCCTGTAATGTAGCCTGTAGTTAACATGGGGGAAAGCACAGCTCATTACTTCCTGTCGGTCTGTTTACTTGTTGCTGTTCAGTTGATGGAAAGAGTGAATGGGTGTGTTCTGTACTAAAAAAAAAAAAAAAACGGAAAATGTTAATTCTGTTGGTGTCATATCATAAAAGGTACCTAAACTTGTTTGAAGCTCTTTAGAGCTGTAAAAGTACATGTATTCTTTATGCCAGATATAAGAACACCATCACACATACAAATTGCTAGCAAACAAGTTTTAGAAAAAGCAGAGCTTGGCCAGGCACGGTGTCTCACGCCTGTAATCCCAGCACTTTGGGAGGCCGAGGTGGGTGGATCACGAGGTCAAGAGATCAAGACCATCCTGGTCAACATGGTGAAACCCCGTCTCTACTAAAAATACAAAAAATTAGCTGGGCATGGTGGTGCGTGCCTGTAATCCCAACAACTCAGGAGGCTGAGGCAGGAGAATTGCCTGAACCCAGGAGGCGGAGGTTGCGGTGAGCTGAGATCGCGCCATTGCACTCCAGCCTGGGTAACAAGAGCGAGACTCCGTCCCAAAAAAAAAGAAAGAAAAAGCAGAACTTTTAATTACGTTCAATTTTAAAAGTAAAGTTAAATTTTCTCCATCAAGATAATTGTGTATAGATTAGATATTGCCTTTCTACCAGAAATACTTTAAAAGTTGATAAGAGACACTATTTAAGCTTTCTTGGTATCAAAACAGACTTTTATCGCTATTATTCTGCAGAGAAGTTTATATTTAGTCTATGTTGGTGTTGACAATGGTGACAGAATTCAACAACTGTTAAACATGTTCAGTGTTTCGTGCCACAAGCTTCCTTCCGCATGAAATAACTTAGCTTCTTCCCTCCCCATTTTCCTGAGTATATCTGGAGCATTCTTGTTTGTGTTTGCAGAGCTACAAACAGCCTTCAGCTTTTATAGTCACCCAGCATCCTTTGCCAAACACAGTGAAAGACTTTTGGAGACTGGTCCTGGATTATCACTGCACATCCGTAGTTATGCTAAATGATGTGGATCCTGCCCAGGTGAGACCCAGACTTCTTACAGTCAGAGCTAGTGCCAGAGCGTCAAATTCGTCTGCACACTGAGTTTGTTTGCACCTGAGAAATGCAGGCCCTGGTGCTAGTTGAAGTTGAGAACTGGGGATGCTAAACACAAAGGTTAAAAATCAGGTGGAATTAGGGGTTAGAAAGTCAGTTGAAACCAGAAATATAGGTTGAAACCATAGATGGTTGAGGTGACAGGACAAGACAGGGCCAGAAGTTGGGCCATTCCTAAAAGATGGAAATACTCACTGGAGGTTTACAAGGTCATAGACCAAGTCAAAGCTCAGCAGGAACCTGAACATTGCAGAGCCAAAAGCAAAGCAGGCAAACCAGAGGACAGTGTAGACAGGAAGACAGCATTTGACACAGCCGCTGATCACATTCCTGGAGTGGCTGTGTGCTTCCTGGCATGGCTCACCGAGAGCCTACAGGTAGAGATCGTCAATGCAGGGTGACAGTGTCAGGGTGACAGCAGAGACAGGCAAGCAATTTTAAGACACACAAATTAGTTTCCTCAATGCTTTGATAAAGATATTAAAGTGAAATAAAACTGGAACTTGGAGATAAGAGAAGTTTGAAATGATAAATGGGGCTTTTGCTTATTTCCTCTTAAACATGAAAGGGAAAGAATTGGACGTTGATGACTCAATATTAGTAATGGGGTTAGACGCATTTTCTTGAAGGAAGTTGTTAGGCGAGCATTAGCACAGTGGCCCTTTAGGAGATGAATTTATTGCTTTGGGATGTGCCTATACCAACCATAGACAACCACCATGACAGTAGGCATTATGGGAAATTTGACCTTAGCATGTTTTAAGAAAAACCTTGTTCTGAAACTGAATTAATTTCCTATGCAGTAGACACAACAAATTCTTTCTTTTTCTTAGAAAATAAAAAAGGTCTGAAGCATTTCAGCATCCCAACTGGACATGATGGCAGGATTTTTCCTTGCTATAATCTGTTTTCTTGCCATCATCCATCCATAAATGGCGTGGACATTCAATTCTATAAGGTTTTTAATTATGTCGGAGGCACTGCATTATATAGCTGAAGCTCTCGACTGAAAGCTAGTTAATGAAATAATAATGATAATCTTTGTTCTTATCCAGTTCTTTTGGCTTAAGAGCTTAAATATTTTAGAACGCTTCCCCACTGATGCTCTGAGAAGGTTAGATTACAGTCATTTGTAAAGACAAGCAGACACCATGACTTGAGAAGCTTCAAAGACCCAACTCAAAATAGAACCAAGGATCCCAGTTTTCTAACTTACAGTGGCACGACTGAAATTTCACTAATTCTAGAATCTTAAGTCACAGACACTTATAGAATAAGGGCTTCTTCCTTATTTAGAATCATTGTGGTGTTTTTTTTTTTTCTAATGTAAATTCTGAAATGCAATGATATTTTTGTTCATATTAGTGAAGAAGACATCAGTGATTCTACTGTGTTCTTTTTGAACAACTGCATTGGAATTCTAAAGCTGCATTCTCAACCCGAACTATCTGGATTCAAACCAAGCCTTGGCTGGCTTGTGGGTAGGAGAGACAAAAAGACTCCAGTTCTATTCAGCAGACAGAGCTGATTTTCAGAGTGAGAGAAAAGAGCCTCCTGGGATTCAGTCTTTTAGTGAACACTAAACTGAGCATTTGAACGTAAAGTCTTTGCAATTGCACAAGAATAGCACTCAACTATTTTAAGTATTTATAAGTCTGGTTCATGGACGTGTTATGCACCATTTAAGCCATTTTCTACATGGTTTACTTGGGCAGAGCATAGAATGCAACATGCTAAGAGGCAGGCACAACCCACATCATTCATATTTCTTTGGTGTAAGTGGCGAGCTTTTGGTCAGGAGCTTGAATGGAGAAAGCAAGCAGAAAGCAGAGTAAGCTCAGGCAGTAGAAAAATGGGCAGAACGGTTCAAATGTACATGTTACAGCTTTTATTAACATCTCGGCTTCCCATCATATGCCTATTAATTTTAACAGTCGGTACCCTGGGGCATCAAAAAGAAAATAAACAGCAGCATGCTATTATTTGACAAGGCAGTTTTATAACCTGTCACCAGGAAGTGCTGGTGAGGAAGGAAAAATTTCATGGAAGCATTATTTAAAAATAAATAAATGTAATTTGAAAAATATTATCAGCTTAGTTAACATAAAAAAACACCCTTAGTTACCCTACTTTCATTCTTGCTTATAAAATCCCAACCTTAACTGTTCTGTGATGGAGACAGAGAGAGATTGCTGTTTTGGTTGACACGCGGCTAACTGAAAACTGTCCTACAATCTTAGGTATAAATCAACCTTTGCAACCTTTGACAATGAGATTTTAGATCCTTTGGAAAATAGAAATCATTTAGAAAAAGAAATTTAAACCAGTGGATTCTCCCTTTCTGGCACATCATTCTGCATAAAACTAGGTGGTGCTTTTCCTCTGCTCTTGGCCCAATATAGAAACAGATTGTATAATAAAGTAGTTCTCCCATTGCCTCTCCATAGGCCAAATGTCCCTCAGCTAAATGAGAAAGATAAAAGTTAGATGCTACTCAAAAAAGATTGGGATAAGTCCCAAAAGAAGTGTAATTTCAAACTTTAAATGCCTATTACAGTTTCGGGGCTTTAAAAGGGTTTTTGAAAAGATCTTAGCAGTTCTTCCTTCCTGTTTCCAAGGGTAGGAATTTTGTGGGGTGCTGGCTAATAAGCCACCATGCCCAGCACCACTCCTACTGCACTGAGTTGTGCATTTATATTCATGCAAAAGTTCTAGTTACCCAGTATCGCCAATACCTAGAGTTTGAGGCTCTAGGAAATTGATTTAGTTAGGCTCCTTCCAGGTAAAACAGCAAAGCGTTTATTCTTATCACAACAGATTTGCTAGATCTGAGTTGTGAAAGTCTGGACTGGAACAAGAAAATGCAACCCAACAATGTTATCGGTTCCAAACCTTGTCACAAAATAGCCTTATTCCCGATGGTGATTCTAAATCCCCACACAAGCCCAGCTAGCAGAGCATGGCAATTTGGGCATTAAGAGGTGTGTAGCCATCTTGAGTACCTTACATCCTGGGGTGGCACCTCTCCCCGGGGCCTGATGAGAGTTCCTTTCAATATGCAAAAGGGCACATGGCGACTGCTATCCACTCTTTGGAAAGCAGAATTACTCATGGCTAAAGGTTCTTTCTGAGAAAATGAAGGAAAAAGTCCTAGGAAAAGGACAAGTGGAGCTGAGGAATCAGCCAGCAAGGCAGTCTAAAGGCCTACCTTGCTGAGAGGAAAAGAGAGAAAGAAAAGAAAAAGGGAGTCAGTGAAGTCCTCGGAATTCCTGAATGATTTCTCCAAACACAGCATCTCACACCTGTAATCCCAGCACCCTGGGAGGCCGAGGCAGAAGGATCACTGGAGAAGAGGGGTTCAAGACCAGCCTGGGCAATGTAGCGAGATCCCTGTCTTCCCCAAAATACAAAAATTAGCCAAGGTTGGTAACGCACACCTGTGGTTCCAGCTACTTGAGAGGTTTAGGTTCAAGGATCACTTGAGCCCAGGAGTTCAAGGCTGCAGTGAGGCATGATCACACCACTGCACTCCACCTGGGAAGACAGAGTGAGACCCTATCTCTTGAAAGAAAAAAAAAAAAAAAGATTACAAATATCAATACTAACCCTTATCCAAACTGTTAGGAACAAATTTCCTCTTATAATTAACCTTTGTTTCTTTGTTTTGAATTCAGTTGTGTCCACAGTATTGGCCAGAAAATGGAGTACACAGACACGGCCCCATCCAGGTGGAATTTGTCTCTGCTGATCTAGAAGAGGACATCATCAGCAGGATATTCCGTATTTACAATGCAGCCAGAGTAAGAAATGAGCCTATCATGCTTACAATTATGGTTTCATTTATTTTCTCACTCACTGAATGTTTAGAGTACTCACTCCATGTCATTCACTGTTCTAGGAGTTTGGAATATGTCAGTGAACCAAAAAAAAAACCATAGATTACTGACCTTATGGAGTTTGCATTCTAATGCGAGCAGTGTTTAGAAAGTAATGATACTTATTAAAGCACAGTAAGGCAGACTTTGTTCAGGACCATCACAACAGGTGCTGGGACCTCTGTCACAGGACCTTGCAGTGGGCGAGGGAGAGTGGGCTCAACTCCAAGTATATAACCAACAGCCAGGGTGGGGACGTGGATGGAAAATTACCAAGGGGAGGCATCAAGAAGAGTAAGACGGGTTCTGGCTAAACGGACCTAACGGGATTCCTGATGAAGGCAGGCCAGGTGACCAGACATACTTGGGTGATGGTGGAGGATGAGGAACCTGATCAGATATCAAATGTGATCAGATATTGAAGGTGGGGGGTTCTTGCCACAGCGACTTAGCAGAAATTGCCAAAACTGGATTTTACAAGCAAGTTCATGGATGGGCCTAGGAGAAGGTTCAGGAGCCTGGGGAAAATTTGGTCAAGCAAAGAATTGGTATCAGAAAACAGACAATAAATAACAGATAGAATAATAGATGTAGTAAGTTAGGAAGTGACAAATGCTGCAAGAAAAGAAGTCAGGGGGTTAGTTAGAAAGTGCCAGGGCCTTTCTCAGCAGGAGCAAGCTCTGTTGTGAGCATGTGCGCCCCGTGAACCAAGACGGAGGAGGCCAGGGAGCACCACAGCTCTCTGGAGAGGCAGCTTTCCAGGCAGAAAGACGGGTCAGCACAGAGGCCCCAGGGTAGGGCTTGCATGTAAGTGCTAGGATGGCAAGGAGGTGGCATGGCCCAGACTCAGTAGCTGATGGAGTGAGCAGTTCACCTGGAAGAACAGTGGCTCAGGGGCCCCGGGTGGAAGGGCCTGGCAGTCACTGTTAGTATTTGGATTTTTGCTTTGAAGGAAATAAGGAGCCATTACAGGGTTTTGAGTGCCAGAATCCTATGGTGTAATTTACATTTTAAAAGGAGCACTCTGGCACCTGCATTGAGAATAGACTGGAGGAGAGAGGCATGAGGAGGCTGCTGAGATAATCCCTGTGAGAAATGACAGTGATGGGAGAAGACATCCTGGGTGAGGTGGGAGAGAGCAGGGGTGGAGGTGATGAGAAGGGGGAGGTTCTGATCTTTTTTGCAGGTAGAGCCAGCATGATCCCAGGGAATGGAGGGGACTCTCAGGGTTCCTGTCCTGAGAGCTAGGATGATGGAGTGGACACTGACTGAGCTGTTGTCCAGGCTGCTGGTGTAACAGGATTGTTTGGGGGTGGAGGCATCATGGACAGAGGATCGGGAGCTCAATTGTAGACACAGTAGGCTTGGGGTGATTGTTAGGTCCTTAAGTGGGAATATCAGGTGGGTCTTTGAAAATATAAATTTATGACTTATTGGGACATTGGTGATGTCTAAAGCCATGAGCCTGAATGAAATCAAATGAGAGGAAGAGGAAGAGGAAGAGGATTGAGCTTGGGGGCTTCTGTCAGCAAGAGGTCTGGGAGAAGGGGAGACTGAGGCAGAGAGAGAGGGAGGGACTGCTGTGGGAGAAGGACCAGCCAATGAGGAAAGCGTGTTGACAAGAAGAGAGTGTCACCCATGTCAGATGCCGCTGAAGGCCACAGAAGATTCAGTCCAAGTGATTTAGCCATGGCCAGAGTATAGCTGTTTTTATGTTTCTACCATAAGCTTAGTAACACTTTTTTGAATTCAGCAATTCCATTTCATTATGACTAAGGATTAATTAACTGTTGCTATCTTAGCAAGATTGAACATCAATAAGCAAAACCATATTATGCTCATAGGAAGCAATGTTCTCATCTTCACACTGAGCTCACAGACATCTCCAGGTTATAAATTGTTACCTGTAATTGAAGTTATTTTACCACTTAACATTACCATGTGGTCAGTTCTTACGCTGTGTTATTTTTCTCTTGGCTTTTGCAGAATGGGAAGCATTCTGCCTCACTCGTATTTGTCTGGCCTGTCATTTAAAACACCTGGTTGTTTTCAACTGCTAGAGATTAAAAACCATAACTCTTCAGGCCAGCAGAAGCCACCTGGGTAATTTGTAGGCAGGACTCACCTTTAATAATGGGAAGATCAAGTAGGTGGAATCAGCCCACCGGAATTCAGTAACGTCAATAATGCCTGTTTTCTTTCCACTCCCTAATTGTTGCCTGGTTCTTTGTAGCCCCAAGATGGATATCGGATGGTGCAGCAATTCCAGTTCCTGGGCTGGCCAATGTACAGGGACACACCGGTGTCCAAGCGGTCCTTCTTGAAACTCATTCGCCAGGTGGACAAGTGGCAGGAGGAGTACAACGGCGGTGAAGGCCGCACCGTGGTGCACTGCTTGTAAGTGCTTGGCAGAGCTCTTAGTTTCAGAACGGCCAGACCCCACACTCACTCTGGCCTCCTATTTCTGTCTCTTGTTTCACTAGAAATGGAGAAGAAATAAGGAGGTCTTGGTGAAGGGGTGATCATGACACTCAGTGAAGGATTAGTTGGCTTTACAGGAAGCAGGATATGTACGTTTTGCATTTGGATAGTGTCACTGCTGTATATGCAAGCACTGGCCTTTTTGATTAGGACCCCCTCCCCCACCAAAACAAATCACTGGTTCTTGAGAGCTAATTGTGATGTGTTCAGGAATTTTCTGAGCTGGGTCTTCAACTGTTGGTAACTTGAATTCATCCATGGTAGAAGGATTTACATCATGGAAATCAACAAATGCTACAACTTGGGACTCCTTCTCACCAGCCAAAGCCAGTTTACCATCACATTACTTGATTATTCTATTGGAAATCATATCAGAGGTCTTAATGGAACTGGTGTGTGTGTGTGCGCATGCACATTCTTTTTAGGAGAATGTGTATATTGGGAGGATTTGGTTACAGCCAGTGTCCCGAAAATGGGGCTTCCAGGCCAGCAGGTTTTGCAGGTGCTAAATGTGGGCACCCTGCTACACATGGCTCCCAGCCTTACCTGCACATTGAGATGTTGGGGAGTTTTAAATGAAAAAAAAAAAAAAAAAAAAAAAACACACCCAGGCCACACCCAAACCAATTAAATCAAAATATCTGGGAGTGGGGCCCAGACATGGGTGTTTTTGAAATGCCTAGGTGATTTCAATGTGTTGAGATAATAAGGTTGAGAGACACTGAATAGAGAATGCCATGCTTCTCAAAGCACTTTCACCTGCATTTTCTCATGGGCAGTGATATGTAGCTAATCAACCAGCTGGAATCGGCTTAATGGAACAGGCAATTTAAAAGTCATGGCAGTTAAAGAAGACGTTTAGAGAATTTGTGGAAATTTAAAATATAAGCGTATATCGCTTTTCAGTGAAGTACATTAGAAGTACACAATGAGATCTCTCTTAAATTGAAGGCAAAATAAAATTTTACGCTGGGTAGATCAAGCCTAGTTAAAATTGCAGACCTGGCTCAGGGCTTGGGTTACTCTCCAGTCAGTGCCCTTCTCTGATGCAATGCTGCTTCCTACCCTGGTCCTGCTAGGTCTTCCTGGAGGTCTCCCTGGAAGCCCAGGACTCTGCCTGCCTCTCAACAATCAAAACGCGGTAGTGTCTCATCCTGCAGGAAACTGATTTTCCCTTGGAAAGAGCCTTAGGAACCTACCCACCCACACTTGTCCTCAACCAGAAGTTCCAATCTTTTTTTTTTCTTTTTTGAGACTGAGTCTTGCTCTATTGCCAGGTTGGAGTGTAGTGGCAGGATCTCAGCTCACTGCAACCTCCACCTCCCGGGTTCAAGCAATTCCCCTGTCTTAGCCTCCTGAGTAGCTAAGACTAGAGACGCGCACCACCATGACCAGCTAATTTTTTGTATTTTAATAGAGATGGGATTTCACCATGGCTAGGATGGTCTTGGCCAATCTTTTGTCCTCTAAAAAGGAGTTTATTAACCTCACCTTTCTCTGGTTGCTGTCATCCCCCTTTATTCTCAGGAACCCAGTGCATTAGAAAATCACCATCAACAAAATCACAAAAAAATTCCTTAGCAGTCCACATCCCTATTTTTATTTCTCTTCAATCCAGATCCAACCTCTGATGAGAATAAAAGGCTCACACTGAGATGATACAATCCCAGCAAAGAATATTGACATCGTCGTTTGTTTCTATCAGATATGTCAGGTTTTTCTAAAATACTAAAAATAGTTTGCAGATACCCATGCCTGCATCTGGAGAGCCCCAGCATCTGGAGCTAGACGTGTAATGCATCTTCCCCGTTGGGATTAGTAGCTTTCTAAAAGGGTCCGTGCTTTAACCCACAGCACTAAGTTACTAGTGACTAGAAGAAGTTGAGGCACCAGGACAGGCCTAAGAGGAAGACATAAAGACCCCTTAAATCACTGCACCTTGTCAACAACACTCTTCCCAGAGACAGCTATGACCACAGAACTCAACAGTGACATTGCTAATTCATGTAAAACCTAAAACCATCGGCTGTTCTTCGCAGTGGATGGTGGGAGGGAGGCGTCCATTGTTTCTTCTCCCCTGCTTGTGCAGCATCGCTTACATTTTCTGCTGAGAGAACTTTGATTATTCTTTGGAACATTATCCCCTTTCTAAAGCCCTGCCTTGGTTCTTGTGGGGCTGCCTCTTGCTCTCTTAGCATCAAGGTGGGCATGAGACCCAGGCCTGGTGAGAATGTTTATTTTTGTTTACATTTTTATGTCTAAATCTAAGGGTTTTTTCTTTTTTTTTTTTTTTTTTTAGCTATAAAGAACAAAGTTAGTATACATTGGCATCCCCCAGTATTGGCCAGGAAAGAATGCTTTGAAACCACTGCAGTGTTCCTCTCAGAGGCAAGAGCATGGCATTCAGTGTAGTGTAGCGCCACCTAATGGCTGTGGGTGGAGAGTTCCCGCCTGAGACAAGATGGAGGTGCTTTGAAGTGAATGGTTGGTTCCTTGAGCCACAGATACTCAAGGTATGCAAATAGGGAGTGTTTTTTCTTTATACATGTCTCCCAGCTAATAAAACTAGATTAAATGGATAGAAATAAGATTTCACACTTTACAACTCTTGATGAAAATAACGGATTAGACAGTGGTCTTCAACAGCTGCTAAAAGCGTTAGATGCAAAGCTGATGGGAAAAGCGGTGTCATGTTAGTGCACGATAGAAAACAGCTGATCTTCTGATTAGCAGAAGAGACAGTCCAGGATCAGAGCCACACCTCAGCATCACCTGACTTACAACAAAGATTGCAACACAGCACTGCAGCAGGTGGGGAAGGCTGTCTGGACACAGTGGTCCCCCTCACTCTGTGTACAGAAACCCCTTCCAGACAGATGGTAGACCAAAAGGGGAAAGTGAAACAACAGAGCTTCTAGAAGAAACCATAGGAGAAAATCTTCATGACTGCAGGTAGATTTGTTCAACAGAACACTAGCCTTAAAAGAAATACTGACAAATTGGACCTTCATTAAAATTAAGCTGTTCTCTTCATCAAAGCACTTCAATAAGAGGGTGAAAAAGCAAGACAGTGGGAGGAGAGTTTCATAATACATCTAGGGCCACAGTGTCTAAGAACTGCTGTACTGCAAGCCAAAAGGAAAATGATAGACAACTCAGCTTATTAAATGGGCAGAAAACTTGATAGGTACTTCATTGAAGTAAAAAAAAGGTGTCCCAAATAGCCGGTGAACATAGCAAAGTTAGTCAACATTATTAGTTTTTAGGGAAATCCATATTCAAATCAGGATCAGATAGCCACTATGTACTCACCAGAATGGCTGAAATTTTAAAGACAAATAAATTATAGTCCCAAGTGTTAGTGAAGCTGTGGAGTAACTGGAACTCTTATACACAGTAAGAAGGAAGTAAATACTGTACAGCCATTTGGGAACTGACAGCATTTCCTAAAGCTAAACATATACACACACTGAGGCTGAGCTCTTCTGTTCTTAGAGAAATGACTGCCGAAATACATCATCTACCGAAAGATAAGCTTATCGAAGGTTTAGTCATAATATTTAAAAACTGGAAACAGCCCAAACATTCATCAGCTGTTGGATAAATTGTACAGTAGTATATTCATTCAGCAGAATTCTTCTTAGCAATATAAAAGAATAAACTACCGCTACAACACTATGGGTGATTCTCATGTAGACAACGCAGAATGAAATAACCCAGTCTCAGAAGAAGACATACGGTATGGTCCCATTTACACAAAGTTGAAAAACAGGCAAAAGCAGTTGATGATGCTAGACTTAAGAATGGATTATCTTGGCCAGGAGCAGTGGCTCATGCCTGTAATCATATTACTTTGGGAGGCTGAGGCAGGCATATCGTGAGGTCAGAAGTTCAAGACCAGCCTGGCCAATATGGTAAAACCCCCATCTCTACTAAAAATAAAAAAATTAGCCAGGCATGGTACTGTGCGCCTGTAGTCCCAGCTACTCAGGAGGCTGAAGCAGAAGAATCACTTGAACCCGGGAGGCGGAGGTTGCAGTGAGCCGAGATTGCGACACTGCACTCCAGACTGGGCGACAGAGCAAGACTCCATCTCAAAAAAAAAAAAAACAGGATTATCTTTGGTGATACTGATGGTATTATGAGGGAGCCTCTTGGGGACTGACCATGGTTTTTATCTTGTTCTGAATCGGTGGTTACAGAGATATCTACTTACCATTCATGGTCTTTATTATAGATGTATTATACTTTAGTTGAAAAGCTGATTTGGAATTTCATAATGGGTGCTCAGGCTGATATCCAAACACAGTGATCACACTTAAAACCACAAAACAAGGGACAACTGGATATTTTTGGCTTGCTTCCTAATAAAAGTATACTTTAAGCATCCTTGTATAAATAATAAATCTTGAATTCTTACCAAGCCCTGGAACGACCTACCAATTTACAGGAAATACAGGGTTAGAAAGCAGCATGTTAAATCATATCACAGAGATCCAACGAATGAGAAAAATCTAGAATGCGTCACTCTCTACAGAACAGATGGCCTTGTTTCCTCAACAAATCAATTCCCAAGAAAAAAGAGAGCAAAGATGAACTCACAGATTAAAATAAGTTTGCAAGACATACCAACCAAATCCAATGTGGACTTTGCCTAGATGTGGATTTTTTAAAAAGCAGCTGTAATAAACAATCTGGGAAATTAGAACACTGACCAGAAATTTGATTATTTTAAAACAGTAATGTTTACTATTTTAGGTATGATAGTTATACTGTGTTTAAAAACAAAAAAGGTCCCTTGTCTCCTTGAGGAGAGAGTGACTGCGGAGTTGGTGCAGGGACAGTGCAGGATGAGCCTGAAACATCATGTGGTCGCAGAAGGTAAAGAAATACTCAAAAAAGGTTGGGGGCTTGTCAGGAAGGAACACAGAGCCAACCTAATGGAGCTCCCACTGGCCAAAGCTGGAACAACATGAACAAAATCAGTATTAGTACCACTGGATTCTAGCTCATAGTATAAGTTCACACTGAAATAAATCATAAAATAAATAAGCAAATACATAATTTAATGGGGAAGAAGAGACGCCTCTTTCTAAGGTTAGAATGTTGAAAGAGAGGGAAACAGGAAATCACCATTAGGCAAACACCATAGTGATAATTAATTGTTGCAGACAAGATCGACCAACAGAGGCTCAAATCAGTGGGCAAAACTTTGAGGAGAAATAAGATATTTGCATAGTCCCAAAATATCTTCCCTCCAGATACTTATTGACTGCAAAGAGAAAGATGATAACTTTACGGTGAGAACATCTGGCAGACACACTCTTAACAAGTGAGCAAGTTAACATCACCAGTAGTAAGACAGATGGACATCCTGAACCCCTGGGAGGAGGAAACATCCCCTCTCATCTCTTGTTACCGAAATGCATGGCCTTGTTTCCAGTCATGAGAAGACACCAGACAACCCCAAATGAAGGGATGGTCTACATGCTGTAGTTTGTAATCACTTCTCAGATTGCAGCTGGGGACGACAGCCACTTTCTACTTCTGCATTCTACGTTCTTTATATTCTACAAAATCACTGATCCGTGCTCTTCAAAAGTGTCAAGGTCAAGGGAACACAAGGAAAGACTGAGGAAGTGTCACTGATGGAAGGAAACGAAGGAGACAGGACGACTGCATGCAAGAATGGATTGGATCCTGGACCAGAAAAAGGACATCCGTGGAGGAACTAGTGAGATGTGACTGCAGTCTGTGGTTTAGTCAATATTATTGTGCCGGCACTGTGTTCTTGGCTTGCGCAGTGTGCTGTATTCATGTAAGGTGTTCACATCAGGGAACTTACATATGCAAGAGAATTCTCTATGATATTTTTACAACTTTTCTGCACATCTAAAATGGGTTCAAAGTAAAAAGTTTTCTTTAAAAAGAGCCTCTGTGTTTTATAGATAAATATTGAAATGCAAATGGATGTTTTTAAAGGCCAGTTACATCTTTGAACATAACCCTTACTTGTCACACCAAGTTTCCTGGCAGACCCTAGATGAAGTTCATTGAAAATTTTCTACCATGGGCCTATAACGCTGAAGGAAGTGCTGTCTCAGAGAATGATCAGGGCTGAGCTGAGCTGGGAAAGGCTCTCCAGTCAGGTGACCTGTGGCCAAACATTGCGGATGACTTGCTCTATTTGCTTTAATTAAAAGAATCTGCCCAGGTAAGAGGTCCCTCAGCCTCAGAGGCCTTTGTTGTTACTGGTTCACCAGGGTTTCCACAGCTTGTTTCCTCTAGTGTTTGCAAGATGCAGTGTAAAGACAAATCGAGTGCAACCATCTGATCTCTTTCATGACAGGAACGGGGGAGGCCGCAGTGGGACATTCTGCGCCATCAGCATCGTCTGCGAGATGCTCCGGCACCAGAGAACCGTGGACGTCTTCCACGCTGTGAAGACGCTGAGGAACAACAAGCCCAACATGGTCGACCTCCTGGTAGTACACCCCCTCTGAGCTGTGCCCTGAGACACCCTGTTAGCATTAGAATCCACGCCAGCTCCCAACTTTGCACAGAAACTGATGCATAGAGGAAGAGACCCATTTTCAGAAGCACAATGTAGTCACTTTGCTTGTAGGGCTTTTTTCCTTCTTTCTTTTTCTCCCTCTTCCTCTCTTTGTTTCTCATGGGGAAACTTTGTCTCCATCTCATTTGAAATGCGGAAATAGCCGAAACTCACAAGTGAGCATCCTTATTAACTTCCCTCCCTGGCAGCACCTTCCACGTGGCTAAGCACTTATTCTTCATGGAGAAGGAATAATCATAGTACGTGAAATGCCAGATTTTCAAATTATATATTTTATAAATAGCTTAATCGCCTAATATTTATCAAAGCTGTGGATTTCAGTTTGACATCCAGAATATTGGATTTAATTATAGTGGCCATATCTGAGAAAAGGATTAAAGGAGATGAGAAACAAAGGACTATGTGCAATTATTTTCTTAGAGTATTTTATGAAATCTCTTTTTATGTGGAGCTGTTGAAATGCCAACCACCGTGACTCAAGAATAGTAGAACAGCTTAAAGGAGGAAGCTTTTACATTAGGGTTTTGCACTTCTCTGTGAGTGGAGGAAGGATCTGAAGGAGACAGCAGAACTAATCCAAGGTTGGAAAATGGCTTGGGGGCAGGAGAGGGAGGAGAGATGGTCAATGTGACAAGCTCCAAAGCCAGTGTTTCCAGGTCCGCAGCATCACAGCGCTGGGGCTAATGTTAAAAATTAAAGTGACTAAAGAGGGAGCTGAGAGTCAAGCTGAAGCTGAGGAAGGGGCTGTGGTCCCCATGCAGTTTAAGAGGTCGTAATAACAGTGCTCAGGGCTGGCTAACAGTAGTGACCAATGACAGCCAGCTCCCAAATGTGTCCCACTCCGCACGAACCACTCTCCAGGGCATCCACTTTCCCCACATACACGTCTCATGCCCGATGAGCTGCTCCATTTCCAAGAAACATGGCTGCTGGTCAGGGAGTTCGGCACACAGACTTGGCTAGGCACATGCTCTCACCCATCAGCTGTTAGCATGTTGGCTTCTAGAAGGGGCAGAAAGGACCATGCTCCCCAGACTCCTCCCCCCCCACACCCTATGGGGAGCCCATGGACATTCAAATTCTAGTCACAACTCTGCTACTAATTCTAGTTAGGTGACCTCAAACACATTAGCTTTGTCATTTAAGTGTCCTTGAGCAAATCACTTAACTCCCTTAGGTTTTAGTTTTGTAAACAAGGGATACCATGAGCTCATTGAGGTGTCCAGTGTGCAGAGAGATGTGAAAGTGTTTTTGAAATTGCAAAGGGGAGAGGTGGTTGTAGAGTGTAGGAGTCTGCTGGACGTGATGCCATCAGTGGCCTGGCAGAAGGGCTGTAAGTGCTCTGGACATAGTAACGGAGTTCCTGTGCGTGAGCGGAAAGGCCAGTGTGGGGCTTTGCTAGGGCCGTCTCCCTCCCTGCAGCGCCACCTGAATGGTAATGAGTTCTACCGCCAAGGAAGTCCCAATCTTCCAGGATGGAGGCAGTTGAGCTGAGTATCCATGCTGTCGGCAGAGGATAGAAACAAATGTACAAATGAAACACTGTGACTGTGGCTGCATGCGGTATTTAACCTCACTAATTCAGGGACAGGTGTGCAGCCTCGAGACTCTGGTTGGTACTTGGGCACAGCTGACCTTGATAAAAAAAAAAGGTCACTTCCCTCTCACGGCGGCCTGAATTAAGCAGATCATTAGAAACAGACCCTTCCAGGCCTTTCCTCTAATGGCTCTGGCTGCGGCTTTCATCACTGACCAGGTTTTACGGGCAGGAGTGATGGAGCTTTTTCCAAATCAGTGGTGCACGCTACAGGACAGGGGTGATTTTTCATGAAATAAATGGAGGCTTAGGTGGCTGAACCAGAAGGGAGCTTGTGGTCCCAGCCCACGATCCTATAATAACTTAGGACTTTGTGTAGTTATGTGTCATTCTAATGGAGAAGATGGGATTCCTGAGTGTCCAGCCCTCCAGAGGTCAGCCCCAGTTGGAGGGTAAGGTCAGGGTCTGAGAAATGTGAGAAAGTTTTGCGATTTCTTGAGAAAACTATGTGACATATCTGTCACAGCGACTGTTAGCAGGGATTAGATAATATCTCGTGACAGAGAAAAAAGTCACCACGCTCTTTTCGGTGGGTTTGAAGCTTCCAGAACTGACTAGAACCTGTTGTCACTTGGCTTTTCCTGTAAATACAGCTTCTGTTTAGTTTGGTGTTGATAGCTGTGTATGTTGGCTGAGAGAGTTAATTAACTTAGGTCAGGGTGATAAAGTCTGTGGTTTTATTGGGCATCACAGGCCACCTGAGGCCAGTGTGTCCTGAGCACAAAATGTTGTGCCAGCAGCTGAAAAGGGCAGTGTACTGAGTCTTAGGTGCGTCTTCAGAGGATGGTGAGCATGTGAGAGACAGCCCTGGGGGTGCTTCCCAGCATGCGCAGTAGAGGGGCCCTCACCCACCCGGCCAGGTCTCATGCATCGCATGCACAGCTGCATCCTGCATGGTCCCTCCTGTTCAGAACAGGCAAATGCTACAGCTCTACCCGCCCTGCCAGGGCAGGTGAATGCACAGAGAAGGGCACTGTGTCCCTCTCCATCTCCCTTTGCAGCTCTGATTTTCCTAAATTGCTTCTGAGCGGGAAGATTAATCAGTTCATGCTGAAGCATGGTACTCTCCAGGGAGATCCAGAAAGCCCTGAAGATGTATTTCTGCAAATTTTTAGCTTTGGGGGCTCTGGAGAAAAGCCAGTGGATTGCCGGGAGGCAAAATAGTTTCTAATACAAGACTAGATTTTTCTGTATCCAGCAGGGGCAGCTGCATTTTTCCTGACCCCTTTTTCAGCTCTGCTTCTAAGTTATCCATCTCTTCAGCCAACCTCAAGTCCCCATCAAAGAACGGCGTCCCCAGAGGGAGGACAGGGACAACACAGCCTGAGATTCCCTACAACTCGCCTAGTTAGATTCAGAAGGGGTCCTGGCCCCTGAGCCCCTTTGAAGCAACTCAGGCTGCAGGAAGGCGGCTGCCCCATGCTGGCAGCTCCTCTCTTCATGCTGACAGCGCCCCTCTCACCTTTGCCCTCCTTAATGGTTTTGAAGTTCCCAGGCCTCTGTTTTAACATAGAAATGGCCTTTAGGGGCAGATCGTGCCTAAAGAAACATAGTGTCCCCTGTGAGGTGGTTGGAACTTTGGAAGACTCCCCCCACAGTTTAGTGCACTACCCAGGAAGTGAGCAACTGGCCCCATCATTTACCCAAATGCCTTGGGCAGGGCTGGCAAAGCTGCCTCTGCAGGTAATTACACACTTTAATATGGAGTGTGGTGGGATAATCATAGCTCACTGCAGCCTCAAACCCCCCTGGGCTCAAGCCATCCTCCCGTCTCAGCCTCCCAAGTAGCTGGGACTACAGGGGTATGCCCCACCATGCCTAGCTGGTTTTTTATTTTTATTTTTTTTAGAGATGGGGTCTTGCTGTGTTGCTCAGGCTGGTCTCAAGCTCCTGGCCTCAAGCAATCCTCCTGCCTCAGCCTCTCAAAATGCTGGGATTACAGGCCTGAGCCATGGTGCCTGGCCTGTGTCTTATCTTGGTCCGTTCCATGCCATCTGCACATATTTCTCAGCCTCTGTTCTATGTGCAGTATCACTGGGCATGATGCAAGAGAAGTAGAAGATATGGCCTCTCCCTCATGGAGCTCAGAACTCACTGGAGATGCAGAAGTCCTCCCTGAACCTCAGTTTTCTCACCTGTAAAGTGGGAATAAGAATATTAAGCCTGGCCAGGTATGGTGGCACATGCCTGTAATCCCAGCACTTTGGGCGGCCTAGGTGGACAGATGACCTGAGGTCAGGAGTTCATGACCAGCCTGGCCAACCAACATGGTGAAACCCCATCTCTACTAAAAATACAAAAATTAGCCAGACATGGTGGTACATGCCCGTAATCCCAGCTACTTGGGAGGCTGAGGCAGGAGAATCACTTGAACCCAGGAGGCAGAGGTTGCAATGAGATGAGATTATGCCACTGCACTCTAGCCTGGGTGACAGAGTAAGACTGCTTCTCGAAAAAAAAGAAAGAATACTAAGCCAGTCAGAAAAGGCCACATATTTTAAGATTCCTTGTCTGAAATGTTTAGAACAGACAAATCCGTGAGACAGAAAGTGGAGTGGTGGTTGCTGAGGGCTGGGGGAGAGGGAGATGGGGTAACTGCTGATAGGCACAGGGTTTCTTCCTGAGGTGATGAAAATGTTTTAAACTTAGATTGTGGACAACTCTGTAAATATACTGAAAACCACTGAACTGTGTTAAAAGACAAAATTACAGCAACTTTAATTTACAGATCTAATTGGCTAGTGTTAGTGATCCTAGAATCCGGCAACATGTCATTCTGTAAAATAGAACGGGTGGTCCGATGAGTTGAGCAGAGGAGGCTGCTTTATAGGCAGAAAAGAGCTTGAGAAGGCAGAAACAGGGAACAGAAAGCAAATCGTTTCAAACTTCCTTCCATCATAGAGTTAAAACAGAGGAGACTTTTTTTTTGAATCTTGCCCTGATACCAGACTGGAGTGCAGTGGTGTGATCTCCGCTCACTGCAACCTCTGCTGCCCAGGTTCAAGCAATTCCCCTGCCTCAGCCTCCTGAGTAGCTGGAACTACAGGTGCATGTCACCACGCCTGGCTGATTTTTTGTATTTTAGTAGAGATGGGGTTTCACCATGTTGGCCAGGATGGTCTCGATCTCCTGACCTTGTGACCCACCTGCCTTGATCTCCCAAAGTGCAGGGTTTACAGGCGTGAGCCATGGCATCCGGCCAGGGACTTCTTTATTATGGCAGCTGAGGAAAAACAGGCCACTTCTGACTGGTTGCTGCACATCTGTTGATGTTTGGAAAGCTGCCCTATTTCAAAGTTCAGCCGGATGGAGAT